ATAAGTGAGGTTTTTGCGCCGATATATCGTTAAAGATTTTGTCGTCTCAAAACCTGGAAAACATCAAAAAATTATCTTGCAAAGATTTAACTTATGCCAACCTTTCTCCGTATGAGAATAAATATCTAAGATTTGCGGTGGCGAGAAAGATATGCATCTTACTACTTTATCTCGTACTTTTAGGAGTGATGACTCCTCAAAGACATTTTCAAGACCATATTCAAATAGCAATTACAGTAGCATGCAAATAGCGTTTTTCCTAGGTCAATAAGCAGTGGAAGAAGTTTCCACGTGGTTAACAGTCAATAATTTGTTGACATCGAAGACAATTTTGAATTTTAGACCGCACTACCTAAATACCCTAATGAAATAGGCGATTGTTTTGATTTATTCAATAATTCATGCACAACCCTTTACCTCCCAAGATCTCACTAGCAATTCTCCTCACTGTCTGCCATATAATTCTCGTGATATTAGTATGGAGAATTTGGTATTGGATCAACTAATTATCCCCTAATTAAGATTGTTCTTTATTCTCATCATGTGTCTGCTTGGTATTGTATCAAAATTGTAAGGAGAAATTCTGTCTCGGTCACTCATGGGAGTTAAAGGATTAAGAATGTTGAGGAGAATCTTTTGGACACTGTTTTCTAAAGCGTTCAGGAAAAATTTATTTTAAAATTCAGTTTTGAAGGGCATTGAAAGAACCTTGAGAGTTTGTTTTGAGTTTTATGATTTACAAGCGAGTACTATGTATTTTGAGTTGGGATTTTTTTTAGTGGGGGAGAGAGGGGATGTCAAGGCGAGGAATGGTAGGGTTAGGGGGTATGGATGTGTTGAACATGTTTGAGCAAAAGATTCAAAGGCTAAATAAGAAACAACATAGAAAAGTTTATTTTGGAAATGATTATCATTTTCATGGGATGGTAGTGTAATTGACTAGATACTTTGTTTTGTTTTTCTTACAGCTTTTTATCAATAATGAGTATGTGGACTCAGTCAGTGGGAAAACCTTTCCGACTCTCAATCCAGTGACAGAGGAAAAGATATGTGAGGTGGCTGAGGGTGACAAAGTAAGCTTATAAGCATACAGATGTTGCTATAAGTTCCTAAGAAAACCATGCTGGAGGCAGAATTGAAGCAAGTCTCAAATAGATCCCTTTTTACAGAATGCATGGCTTGCTGAATTGATAAGAGAAATTAAATTATGTGTCCTAATTGCCTAAGAGAGTGGGCAAAACTGCCAACTTTGATCCTATAAAATTGAAAATGTGCTTATTGCTAGTTTGCATTCTCCACAACTTTATTTTTTTTCTAAATATCTATATTTTTTATACACTAATTACACTCAGTCTGATACTTTAAATTACATTACTGTACATTACATTGAGTTGTTATGTTATATGCTACTTGATTACACTATAATTATACTTAGTCTAATTAAATCTACTTACATTGTATCACTAATGCCACTTATGGTTACAATTTTTACCTTATCTTGCAAACAGGTGACAAGATTATAAATATTTTCAGCTAAGGGTGTTATCTCCAGTTGATATAACACCAAATCCTCTTGAATTCTGTACTAGGAAATGTTCAGCCTTAAGAGGAAATTAAGAATCCATAACTTTGGAGCTAAGGAACAAGCTCAACTTTACTAATATATAATTGAATGTTTTATTTTACATTGAAATCTTTTTTCATTGCCCTGAATCTGGGATTCAAATGAAAAGTGACATGAGTACGGAATCTAATTTTCATAATAGATTTTTGGGTTACATCTTGTATTTCAAGATTTATAGTGGGTATATCCTTGCCATATGTAACTGTTTCAGGCTGATATTGATAAAGCAGTCAAAGCTGCCACTGAAGCTTTTAAATTGGGCAGTCCTTGGAGGATCATGGATGCTTCCAAGAGAGGCCAACTCTTATACAAAATGGCAGACCTCATTGAGAGAGACTTGGACTATCTTGCTGTAAGTAAAATAATATCGCTGAGCAGCATCTGTCATTGGGATACATGAATAGTCTTTTTTTATAAATTAAGCCTTCTTTACCCCTAAGAGTACTTATAACCTCTAATTTATCCTTACACAGTCAGCTCTGAATTAAACATTTAGATCATGAGAATGAAGGAAATGATCACCTTAGAACTAAAGAAGTGCTTTATTGTTAAACAAATCCTCCTTGCCAGGACTTTAGGAAATGTATGGAGAACAGTATGGAGAATATGTATACTGATGTTAGAATGTAAAGGCTCAAGGGACTGTATCCATGAGAATTGGAGCCTAGCCCAGTTTCAATAGAGAGAGCCAACTGAGAGTACAGTTACACTTATCTCTGATTGAATGCTTATTTGTTACCAAGAAACTATCACCCAGTATTTTTCAACTTTCCCTCGGAGTTTGTTGGTAGTCATTTACACCCTTGGTGGAGAGAGGCACTCCCCCAGATAATTTAGTTATAACTCATTTGTGAGGGATTTACTAGTAAGTAGTCTTTTGGTGGATATCTTATCCTGTGAAGCATTAATTCCTGTCCCTTTAAGATTTGACAGAGATAATAAGACTACATTGTACAGTATGATTGGATGGCTGGATGTCACTTTTCAGTAATTTGTTTAAAAATTGAAATGACTGATGCATTTTTGAATTTTTTATTCATTCATTTATAGTCCCTGGAGACAATTGACAGTGGAAAATTATTTGCCGATTCAGTAGATGACATGGAATTTACTGTAAAATGCTTCAGATACTATGCTGGATGGGCTGATAAGATAACAGGAAAGACTATATCTTCTGGTTAGTGAGTAGGTGGAAAAAACTATTAAAACTATATATGATAAATTTTGCTTCCTAACTTGTATGCTCTTGTTTTAGTATAACATGCTACTGCAAAGCCATAAATACTACCCTTTACGGCTACCATTCAGACAAGAATATTACTTTATATGCGGTGCAATCTTTTTACCCTCTAAAACTTAGTAGGTCTCTCTCATCAAAGCTATAAATATTTCCATATTGATAAGTTATGGTACATGTCATTTGATATTACATCTAGGTAATACTTTAGGGCCAGCTGATAAATTTGTGCAATCTCATTACCTGAGTTTTTCGGTGGAGGTGTTGGAATAGTCCAGTTTACAGTTGCATGCTTGGTTGCCAAGCCTTTGAGCAGAAGTGAGGCTAAGGGTGACCTTGTCATGATACAAACCTTGCTGCCTTTCAAATGTAAATTAGTTTGTTATAATACTAAATAGGTACTGGTCTATATCACAAGAAGGTCACCTTCAACCTCACTCCAAATCAAAGGCTTGAAAACTAAGTACACAACTGTAAAATGGCCTGTTGTGAGAAGAACATTCTGTAAATGAAGAGTATAGTGTAACATGTTGGTACCTTTTGGATTTAAGTTGTCAGTGATAAAAAGCAGTTAGTAGCAGTGAACACCTTACTGCATTGGGATATTTAAGCAAGTAGTTACAGTGTTGCAGACAAGTGAAACCAGCCTCATCCATTGGCTTCATTTTTTTTTCCCTATATATGCAGATGGTCCTTACTTTGTGTACACCAGACATGAACCTGTGGGTGTGGTTGGAGCTATTGTACCATGGAATTTCCCTCTTAATATAGCATGTTTAAAGCTTTCTGCAGCTCTGGCTTGTGGCAATGTTGTAATAGTTAAACCAGCTGAACAGACTCCCTTAACAGCACTGTATGTGGGTTCCTTGTTTAAAGAGGTAAGTTTAAGAGGGTATGTAGTAGATTGTTTACAGCAGACAGCAACGATTGGTAAGGCTTGATTCCTACAAGCCACACCACTATCACAACAATGATTATGGATATAATCATAGTCAGAAGATTGTGTTGATCAACCCTTAGCCCCCTAAATATGGTTTTCACATTCTCAATACTGTTCTCCTTACATTTCATGTGTTACTGACAAGGAGAATTTGTTTGACAATCAGTAGTTTCATAACTTGGTGATCATTTTCTTTATTGGATTTAAGGGTGATACTGTAAAGAGAAAGGAGAAGCCAGACACTTAAGGGATAATTAGGGTCAATAGTGTTCATGTAGAGGGAACACATGCAAGGCTTGTAAAAACTCTTTGACCCATGTAAAAGCCATCATAGAATATCGTGAGGTGCAATTTACTGGAACTAGAGAGTTCATCAGACAGAGGACAATGCACAAACTTATGTCTTTGTCATTGTACACGTTTGCTAGATTTTGTGTTCCCACAATAAACTAAGCTGGGTTTACTTAATAATAGTTATAATCACTAACAAAAGAAATGTTTTGATCATAACCTAGCCATATTCACAAATTTTAAAACGGCATGTCTGACTTAAACCTTCTTTTGAAAATTGCTTCAAGATTGGAGAGTATTTTGCTTTGTCTTATAAAAATAGAATAACTTGTTGATACTTAAAGTTGTGCCAGATGGCAACTGGTGAATATTTGATGTGTGTCATGCAAAAAAATATTTGAAGGCTTATGAACTCAAGATAGCCTCTATTTGGCAAAAAAAATAGATGCTTGTAAATTTGTCCTTGCTTGGACATACCTAGACAAGTGTTTTCTTTGCCTCTTAAGACAGATGATGTTGGCAGAAAATGTCTACAATATTTATATTTTTATATTTTCAATTGAAACTATTTTATTTTCAACACTGTTTTAGGCAGGATTTCCTCCTGGTGTGGTGAATATCATCTCTGGTTATGGTCCAACAGCAGGAGCAGCAATTTCTGAACACATGGACATCAACAAAGTTTCATTCACAGGATCAACAGAGGTACTCAAGAGATACATGTTCTGATAGTTTTCCAGACATCTCTCAAAATGGAGTAAAATCTGTACAATCCATAAACCTGTTTGAATACTGAAGGAACAATACAAGTGCAATTCGACTCAAAAAAACCAAAAACCAAACACACTATGTTTTTTAAAATTTAAAAGCGTTCAAATTAACTAAAGAGTGTGTGCCTGCAATTGAACAATAAAAATGAAACAAAGTCTGTAATTGTGTGTGCAACAGGGCATAACTGCCAACTGATTTCTTTTTAAGTTTATTATCAATTCCATAAATGCAGGAAAGGTCACAACAATACATTTAAAAAAATTTGAAAAAAAATCAGGATGATCAGAACCATTCTAAACATTAAGTTATTTCTGTTGTAAACACTGGAGTTATTGTCTTTATTGTGGGTAACCTTTGGCCTTGTGAATGTGATATTGTCAGCTTGGCCTCACCATGATTGTTACGTAACATCTGATTATTTACCTTGCACACAACTAAATCTTTTCCTTCCTTTTTTCAATCAAGGTTGGAAGGTTAATACAAGCAGCTGCTGCAAACTCCAATTTAAAGCGTGTAACACTGGAACTCGGGGGAAAGAGCCCAAATATAGTTTTTGCTGATACTGAAAATATTGATGTTGCAGTGGAACAGGCACACTCTGCACTGTTCTTTAACCAAGGACAGTGCTGCAGTGCTGGCAGTCGCACTTTTGTGCAAGACACCATTTATGATGAGTTTGTAAAAAAGAGTGTGGAAAGAGCTCAAAACCGCACAGTTGGTGATCCTTTTGATGATGAAATCCAACAAGGACCACAGGTGTGGAATTACTTCTTCTTTTGACATATTTGTCAGATGGTTTCACTTCTGGGATAGTCATACAGCTCTTTTAAAAAGGACATCATTGCTACTTGGAAATTACCCCTCCCCTGGGTAGAAGGAATATCCAAGGAACAAGGCTATTATGTGTCTGCAATGCTCCAAGTTCAATTTCATCTGTGATAGTCATGCAGCTCTTTCAGAACAGACATCATTGCTACTTGGGAATTATTCTTCTCCAGTTCATACAAGGAGATCATTGTTCTGGGGGTGGGTTGAAGGAATATCCAAGGAACAAGGCTGTTATGTGTCTGCAATACTCCAAGTTCAATTTCTTAATTGTCAATTAATTGTCAGACCTAAAATACTCTAATTAGAAAATGGCTGCCTCAGGAAGAACTTGAATTTGGTAGCCAGTGAAAAAAGTAAGATACTTGGGGGGAAGTCATATTACAAGTTTGAAAGCTGACTACCGTGCATATCTTTAACGAGAATTGTCCAGAAGAAATGGTTGCCCAAACTATTGAAACATCTTGATAGAAATGGAGGTGCATGTGACTTATGGAAGTTTGTTTCTCAAAATGTCTGGAGGACTGAAGAATTCCCACTCCAGATACTGATAACACAACCAAGTGTCTAATTCAGGGAGACATCTTTTAAAGAGAGGAGTGTTTGTGTTTGTTTGCATAAACTTATCTATTAGAGGTAGAAATTATTCTAAAATGTTATCCATTCTTTTATGAAAATCTCAGCCTCGCACCTAGCCCCTTCCTCAGCATTAACTACTCAAAAATGACCAAAAAGAAGCTAGTACCTTGGACTATCATGTGGTTATGATAATTATTGATTAATAAATATCCCATTTATTTATTTTCTTGAATTTGGTACAATTTGAGTACCAACAGGCAAAATGGCATTTGTTAGGCAGGAATTCTAGTATAAATGAAATTCTGGTATTTTATTTCAGATTGATAAAGAACAGTTTGATAAAATCCTTGATCTGATTGCAAGTGGAAAAAAGGAAGGAGCAAAGCTTGAGTGTGGTGGTGCTAGACATGGAGACAAAGGATATTTCATACAACCTACAGTCTTCTCAGATGTCAAAGACCACATGAGGATTGCCAAAGAAGAGGTATTTATTCAGTGTTACTTTCAGTTTTATTTTCCTCCCTAGAAATTATGTTGTGATAATCTTGGTTTCAAACAATTACTATCAATTTAAGTTAAAGTGAATTTGACATGTAATTTTAGCTTTAATTGTTTACTATTGGCAACTTAGATATTTGGTCCAGTGCAGCAGATCATCAAATTCAGTGATGTAAATGAGGTTATTGAAAGGGCAAATAACACAACATATGGCCTGGCTGCTGCTGTATTTACCAAAGATATAGACAAAGCAACAACACTTTCTCACAGCTTACAAGCTGGAACAGTTTGGTGAGGAAATGAAACATCATGGTTGTACATATATTTTAATTTATGTATATGTTGTAAATGTGTGAAATTTGGTTTTTTGTTCAGTGTTAATGATGGTAATTTAAAGTTCAATTTGTTAGAATAGTTATACCACATGTTTCTTGTCTGATTATTGGTGCTCTGTAATTTATTAAACTTGATTTTGGCCATAGATCATGGTTCATATTCTTAGGGGAATTACTTAATTGGCCCCAGGCCTCCATGCTGTGCAGGCTAGCAGTTGACTGACATTTGGTTGACATATAATCACTTTGTTGTATATGAAATGTTTCCAGTTTCTTCATATAACCCTTGTGCATTTGGTTGGTGCTGTTTTTATTTTTTCAGCACCCAGTCCTCCCCCTCACTCCTTCATTTCTTCTACAGTGAATCTTGTTTGAGCCTCTCTCTTAACCTTTCCTTGAACCTTCGAGAGATCCTTGTTTCCTCATTTAAGATGCCAGTTTCAATGGAGTCACTGTCTTGTTTGTTTTATTTTGTGTTGGGAAAGATTGGTATGGTGGGGGATCATGTGTAAAACGTTATGTACAACACATACTTGTCTATGTTTTGGAAAGATTTGTTTGGTTCAGGAGTTTGCTTGAAGAAGAACCTTGTTTCATTAGCAGTAACTTTACCAGACAAGTACAAAGTTGTGGTTTGCTTGATATCAACTCATGTACAGTGTACAATGGTTGACCCCTTAAACCCCAACATCAATATATATATTCTGCACACAGTTATTCATACATTTCCTAAGGTGCTGACAAGGAGAACTTGTTTAACAATCAGCAGCTTCTTTAGTTAGTGATATAACTTTTCCTTTATTCTCATATGACCTTAATGTTTGACTCAGGGATGATATTGTAAGGAGAAATAAGATGCTAGTCACTCTTAGAGGTCAAAGGGTTCAAGAGCTTCTTCAGTTGGTGATCATTTCCTTTATTCTCATGACCTTGATGTTTGACTCAGGGATGATATTGTAAGGAGAAATAAGATGCTAGTCACTCCAAGGGGTTAAAACATTAAAAAGGTTTGTTTCCATGAACTTCTGATATATATATTTTTTCAGGGTCAACTGTTATGATTGTGGGGGGCCTCAAGCCCCCTTTGGAGGATTCAAGATGTCTGGCTTTGGCCGAGAATGGTAATTACAATCTTTGTTTATGTAGATGCAACTCTGACTAGAAGTAATATATCTCCTTAATGTCAAGCTGAAGCTTTTCCTTAAAATCTGTTCAGAGCTTATAATTAGGAATTGTGGATCAAAAGTATTTCGAAGTGCAATTGCACCACCAGAATCAACCAATATGTACACAGTCAGGGCGTGAAATTGCACCTAATACAGGCGCCAATGCGACTAAATTTTTCACTTTGGCGACCAAATCCTGAAAGTTAGTCGCCAAGTTGGCGACTAGAACGTTTCATCATAACCTCACCAAGAGATATAGTGAATTAAAAAGATTTGCAAAGATAAATCCGAGGCAAACTTCCTCGTTAAGTTTGTTTCCAAGCACATGCATCTTGATCGATAACTAGACGCCATCTTGGATTTAGATGAGCCTGAATGTTGTATATCATCCATCCTAGTGTCCACTTTGTAGCATGTTAAAGATCTTTTTGGAGGGTCTATCTAGAACGCTGACAGCATAAAGAAAGATTTTGTTTGTCTTTGAAAATGGCGACCAACTTTTTTTGAATTGGCTTCCACTTTGAAGAATTTAGGAGCCAAGTGGCTATCAGAAAAAAAAAGTTAATTTCACGCCCTGACACTGAGCAAGGAAGTTAATGATGATATATTTTAATCACTTCTTGTCCTCTCAGAGATTAATTAAGTTTGGGTATTTGTGGAGTTCTTCAAAGGATGGTTTATATGTTTGTTTGTAAAGCCATTTCTTGCTGACTTAATTGTGCTTTAAAGTTCATTTACTATACAAGGAGTGGGGTGACTTTTGATGTAAGCTTGACTTCTCCCTTTGTTCCACACCCCTCTCC